CACCACTGTCTACTTCACCAGAAATGATAGACAGTATCCCTGCTGGGCAGGTGAAGGAATCCAGGAGGAAAGGAAGGAGAAGGTAGAGTGGCACTCTGGAGCCTTGCTGCTCATTTACGTTGGGAGTTTGTTGTTGTTGTTAGGTGCCGTCGAGTTGTTTCCGACTCATAGCAACCCCATGCACAGCAGAAAAAATGCTGCCTGATCACATGCTCCATGATCCCTGCTATGCTTGAGCCCATCATCGCAGCCCCCATGTCAATCCATCTCATTGAAGGCCTCTCCCTCTTTCGTTGACCCTCCACTCTACCAAGTATGACATCCTTCTCCAGGGAATGGTCCCTTCTGACAACATGACCAAAGTAGGTGAGAAGTCTGGCCATTCTCACTTCCAAGGAGCATTTCGGGTGCACTTCTTCTAGGACAGATCTGTTAGTTCTTTTAGCAGTCCATGGTACTTTCAGCATTCTTCACCAGCACCACAACTCAAAAGCATCAACTCTTCTTCAGTCTTCCTTATTCATTGTCCAGCTCTCACATGCACACGAGACAACTGGAAATATCATGGCTTGTGTCAGGTGCACCTTAGCCTTCAAGGAGACATCCTTGTTCCTCAGCACTTGAAACAGTTCCTTCGCGGTTGAACTTTCCAATGCTACACATCGTCTAATGTCCTCACTGCTGCTTCCACTGGCATCAATTACAGAACCAAGCAATGGGAATTCTTTGACAACCTCAATCTTCTCTCCATTTATTATGATGCTGCTCATTGGTCCAGTTGTGAGGATTTTTGTTTTCTTTATATTGAGACATAATCCATACTGCAGACTGTATTCTTCAACCTTCATCAGTAAATGCCTCAAATCATCCTCACTTTTAGCAAGCAAAATTGTATTGTCTGCACATCTCAGGTTATTAATGATTCTTCCTCCAATCCCGATGCCACATTTTTCTTCATATAGTCCAGCTTCTCAGATTATTTGTGCAGCATATAGACTGAATGAGTGTGGGGAAGGATACAACGCTGATGCTCTCACTTCTTGATTTTAAACCATGTAGTGTCCCCTTGTTCTGTTCGAACAACAGCCTCCTGGTCAAGGTACAGGTTCCTCATGAGTACAATCAAGTGTTCGGGAATTCCCATTCTTCTCAATGTTATCCATAATTTATCATGATCCACACAATCAAATGCCTTTGCATAGTCAATAAAACATAAGCAAACATCTTTCTGGTATTCCCTGCTTTGAACCAAGATCCATCTAACAACAGCTATGATATCTCTTGTTCCACTTCCTCTTCTGAATAGCGTTTGCACCTCTGAAAGTTCTCTGTCAATATACTGCTGCAAACGTTTTTTAATTATCTTTAATAAGATCTTACTTGTGTGAGATATCAATGATATTGTTCTATAATTTCCACATTCTGTGAGATCATCTTTCTTTGGAATGGGTACAAATATGGATCTCTTCCAGTCAGTTGGACAGGGAGCTGTCTTCCAAATCTCTTGGCATAACCAAGTGAGTGCCTCCAATGGGGCATCCATTTGTTGAAATATCTCAATCGGTATTCTGTCAATTCCCGGTGCTTTGTTCTTTGCCAATTCTTTCATTGCAGCTTTGACTTCCTCCTTCAGTACCATTGGTTCTAGATCATATGCCACTCCCTGAAATGGATGAAGATTGACCAGTTCTTTTTGGTACAGTGACTCTGTGTATTCCTGCCATCTTCTCTTGATGTTTCTTGCATCATTCAATATTTTGCCCATAGAATCTCTCAATATTGCAACTCGAAGCTTTAATTTTTTCTTCAGTTCTTTCAGCTTAAGAAATGCCGAGCGTGTTCTTCCCTTTTGGTTTTCAAACTCCAGGTCTTTGCACATTTCATTATAGTAATTGGTTTTGTCTGCTTGAGCTGCTCTTTGAAATCTTGTATTCAGCTCCTTTATCTTGTCATTTCTTCCATTTCCTCTAGCTACTCTCTGCTCAAGGGCAAGTTTCAGAATCTCTTCTGTCATCCATTTTGGTCTTCTCTTCTTTTCTCATCTTTTTAGTGATCTCTTGGTTTCTTCATGGATAATGTTCTTGATAGCCTCCCACAATTCTTCTAGTTTTTGGTCGTTGGTGTTCACTGCATCAAATCTATTTTTTAGATATCTCTAAATTCAGGAGGGATATATTCAAGATCATATTTTGGCTCTCTTGGACTTATTTTAATTGTGTTTAACTTCAAGTTGAACTTGCATATGAGCAATCGATGTTTTGTTCCACAATCACCTCCTGGCCTGGTTTTGGCTGAAGATATTGAGCTTTTCCACCACCTCTTGCCACAGATGTAGTCAATCTGATTCCTGTGTG